CTGTTGTATTAAGGTTATCCAATTACCATTCACATTAACCACACTATAGATTTGGTGTTTTCCAGTTATTTAATATTCCCACATATCAATTTTTGCTTTTCATATACATAAACCTCCCTAAAAAATGTATAATATGGACTGTGACGTTTGAGTTAGATCATCCACCGCATTAATCCTGGGTGATCTAACATGTGACTAGTCCCTGGGACCAGTCACAAATAGATCTAAGCTTTTCTTTCCTAGGGCCGTCGTACCCTATGTTGACCGGCGAACTGTCGCGTGGGATTCACTCAAGTTGGGAATGATAAGGGAATTGGAAGGTATTGTACCGAAGATAAATACACGATTAACTGGTAAAAGGATGGTATATTTAACTCAACTACTAACTACGGTACACGACAGTGTTATTGATGGGTTCGGTAAACGCGTTATTAAGAGATCGGACTTAGACTTATGAGCTTGGAGATCCGCTCCACTCCGCTCCCGATCGTACTCTGCCCTTGCAGAGTCTTTGTAAAATGCTCAAGACCTAAAATTGCAGAGCAAGCAGCCTCACGGTCCCGAAACACTAAGACAATTAAGTGTCATCATTGATACATAACTAAAACAGTCAAACAGCTTCATTACCGAGAAGCTGGACTCAGATGGCACCGTGAGTATGCTGAGCTCTGCTCCTGCACGATGAGAAAGAAATCATATTTCTTTTCTCATCGTCCCACATTATAAATTTAATGTAACGTATTATTCATAATATGTCACATTGTATTCAACAAATAACCGACGTATTAATGACAATACGTCACAGGACTAATTCCATATATTTTTCACATTTATAAACGAATATATAAAAATATATATAAACCATATATTTTTTGTTTCTTTAAATTGGGCCAATTTTAAGATTTTTTTTTTAATATAAATTTTTCCGTGTGGTAATAATCACCCCGCTTATGAGAAATCGTTTGATACCAACCAGAGTTGTAATCGGAGCCCTTCAATTTTTTCAGTTTGCGTAATTCGCACAATTTATTTCGATAAAAATTAATAAATAATGGAGATTATATACACTTTAAGAAACTCGAGAGATTATTTATTGATGAAATTATTGTGTCACTCTGAATTGAAATCACATGCAATCAATTCTGAAATCCCGTAAAATCAGGTGAAATCGAATGAAATCAGTAAAATCACGTGATCAATAAAACAATTTTTTTCCCAAATTAAAAATAATTTTTTTTGTGAGAAGACCCGGTAAACCGCAATTCTAACCTCGCTTCGCTCGGTTTGATCGCGGTTTACGGGCCTTCTGACGAAAAATTGCATTCATCACACCGTCCAAAAGTATTTTCTGACGAATGTGATTATAGGCCTCGCCTTCGGCTCGGCCTACAAAGCCACATTCGTCAGAAAATACGTTGTGGACCTTGTGATGAAAATAACTATTTCCGTACTTCCCCACTCGAGGATACTTACCGGCTCTGTCAATGCAAGGGAGCGCCGGTCTAATCAGAAGCTCTCATCCCTTCCCACTGGGTACGATGAAAATTAAAATATATGAATATATATGAACCTATAATTATAAATTCGCATTTCTTTTTCAGATTTTTAAAATGTTTTCTAACGGTTCAATATCGAGATTTAAATTCAGACCTGCAAAGTTTAAATATTAAAATCATTGTAAAATGTTCGAAAACATAGGGTCAAAGGGGATTCAGTAAAAATTTTAACTAAACAAATTTTCTCTCTCTGAATATACGTGCAAATCTGCGAGATCATAAATAATCTCAAAGTCAACAACCCTACTAGAATTTACGTACGGCTTGCCGGATTTAACCTCCACCGAATTCGGCGCGAGTTTCGGTTTTTGTTAGGCATGCCGGATAAGGTCTGCCTCATCAAGGCCTTATGAGAACCAGACACGACATACCCCATCTGACATGCCTAACAACATACGAGGCTTGCGCCGAATTCGGTGCAGGTTAGGTTCAGTATGTAGTGCGTAAATAAGCATTTTCATCACGCTGTGACGAAAAGTGAACTTTTCGGCACGCTCCGCGTGCCTAAAAGTCCAATTTCCGCCACATTGTGATGAAAAATATTGTTCGTAACTCGTGAAAAAACACTTTTTTGCACTCGTTACGAAATATACTATTTCAGCACGCTGAGCGAAAAAGTAACTTTCTAGGCACGCTTCGCGTGACTAAAACGTTCCTTTTCCACACATTGTGATGAAAAATATCGTTCGATACTCGTATGGGAAAAGTGTTTTTTGGCTCGTGGGAGGTTTATAGCACGAGCCGAAAGCGAGTGATATAATCCCATATAAAAACACTTTTCCCACTCGCCTTCGGCTCGTGCTATAAACCTCCCACGAGCCAAAAGACTCTTTTCCGCACTCGTAACGAAATATACTATTATGAAAGGTGCAAATAAATATAGATCATATAGGCAAAGCGGCGTCCCCGTAATAACAATAACGCGATAGTCTAGTGGTTATGGCTTAGGATTAGTAACCGTAGATTACCCGGTTCGATCTCCACCATCGGAAAAAATACGAAGGTTTTTTCAACGGTAATTACGGTAGAGATTCATTAGGAGAGGCCATCTATCGTGGAAAAATTGCATTATCTTTTGTTTTGAATTAGTTATCACTAATAATTATTATTGATTCCGGCAGACAGGTCATCAGGTTTGAATACGTCAGCTTGATCAAATCCGGAACTGTTAGGCCTGATCAAGTCTTGACTAAAAACCGCGTTACATGACTGATCAGACTTGCTCCAGTCATCAGATCATTTTCTGATCAATCGTCAGGTCTGACCTGATCCAGTCCTGACTTGGACCTGACCAAAATTTCCACTCGGGCATTGTACCACGATATTCAACACTGAATAAGAATTCGCAGAAACCCCATTATTTGTCATGGATTGAATTTCTGGGAATATCCCAATTGTAAAGGAAAATAGACTTCTTGATTTTTTTCTGATTTTTATAATGGTATAAAATGGCGAAAAAAGTTTAGACTACAAAAAATTTTTATTGTAAAATTCATTCTTTAAAATTCAAATTTGGGCGCTGATGTGTGAAAGGATGAGCAGGAATAGGGGAATTTGTACCAGCAATAGCAAACATATTGATGTAGTGAATGAACGTTCGCTTCATGAAACAATGACAACGGCACTGATAATTATTTAATTTCACCTATTCATCGATATTTCGTATTTGCGCTATTCATTCGTAATTTGTCTTCATTTGTGAGCTATATTGTTTGCAATACATACATATCGGCAGCTTAGTAACAGATGGATATATCTACCCCGATAAATAGTTAATTTGGTAGACATATCTACCAAAATGAAGGCAATCTGGGGATGCGTTTATACATTAATCCGTCTGGAATAAGGAAATAAGACTAAATAATTTTGTAACAGATTTCGGGAGTTACGCTTGCTTGTTTTACATGTGAGTCACAACAACATATTTTCCATTTTCGTACATGTTCAACTTTTTTGATCATTGAAAAGTTTAAAATTCATTTGAAACAGAAGAACGAAAGTGGCACTTACGCTTGTCTGATCGAAAAATGTTAAAGATACGTGCGTCTGTTCCAACAAAAATTGAAAATTATTATTTGAATGATTATTTCAATACCGAGCATAAAGAGCACATTTTTTGGAGATGCATCACTGTAATTCTGGAAATGACCGTTTTTTGTAGTTACATAACTTTGTTACTAATCTGTCGATGTACATTATCACGTCCCACGTACGAAATGCCAGTGTTGGAGAAACGGGCCAAGCCTGGCACAAGCCTGGGCTTGCCAAGCCTGGGCGCCCAGGCTTGGACCGAGGTTCGGCCATCCCTGGGGACCAGGGCTTGAGTCTCGGGAGAAGGGCAGNCCACTTGCCATGACGCGGCCATAGATACTGGAGTCTGCAGTCATGGAACACTTTGTATCTCCATGCAATCTCCATGGATTTTGAAGAGGATTTTGGCAGTCCATGGCCACCTTTCATGGCCAACTTCCACGGCTACCTTCCGTGGCCTCGTTCCTGGGCCAACATTTATTGAGGGGGGTGATCGCAAGGGTCAAACGGGAGAGACAAACATAGTTATCGCAAGGGTCTAGTGGGAGCGATGAATCAAGTAATCGCAAGGGTCAAACGGGAGAGATGAACGTAGTTATCGCAAGGGTCTTATGGGAGGGACGAATAGAGTAATCGCAAGGGTCAAACGGGAGAGACGAACAAAGTTATTACAAGGGTCCAATGCACGGAGAGAAATATTCAATAAAAATTACCAGAAAAAAGACGTAAAAATTACGTTTCGAAACGTAATCTGGGAGCGAAGTAAGATTCAATAAAAAGTGTCAATCGTCACGTAAATTCTACGATCTGTTCCGTAAAAATTACTCATCCGTCCGACGCCTCACGGCTAGCCATGAGTCACCGTGAGGGGAAGATTTTAACAACACGTTCCGTAATTTTTCCGGAACTTTTCGTAAAAATTCTTAAACATCCAAAAATTTTCATGTTCTGAGGCATAATAAGTCTTGAAGTTTCTGTTAGATTTTACAACTTCCAGAAAAATTACGTGACTTTTTCGTATTTTTTCGGTGACAGATCCGAAAATTTACTGAACGTTTCAGATTTATTCTCTTATATTCCTATAGAAATTCACTGAAAACGATTCTCGCTTGCGGATTACGTGAAATGTTCCGTAATTTTTCTTGAATATTTCTCTCCGTGTAGGAGTAATGAATCGAGAATTCGCAGGGGTCGAGTAATCCCATGTCCGTGGACATCAGTATCTATGGTCTTCAATGCTTCGCACTTTTGATGACGACACACGCTATCGAGTATAAAAGCTTTCAATAAATCAACTGATAAAGGTAATAGTTTTGTAATTGCGTACATTACTCCGGTTTATCATTCCAAACAGCTGCGGAAGACCTATATAACGGTTCTCACTTTATAGAGAAGTCACACGCGAAAATCTGAAGCAACATGGAGCTGCCGAAATTCATCGTTCTCCTGTTGATCGCATTCTGTACCGCCAACTTGAGCCGAGGTAAAAATTGAAATTCACAATTTCATGAACTAATTTTAACTTTATAATTGAGTATAGCCCTTCGATATACACCTGGCTTTTAAACAAGTTTTTCAATTGTGTTTTTCTCATAGAAAAGAAATATTGTAAAGAGAAAATACAATGGAATTGGATTTTTGAAGATTTGGAGAATAATCATCGTTTTTATCTATGCTGAAGTGCTAAAAAAAATATTCAGATACCGTCTGGGGTGCAGAGAACACCCCCATAATTTTTCGGTTGAAGGGGAGACTACTATGAGTTTTAAAAGTCGTGGGTTATCGGAGTGAGACTTTTCATACGTTGAAAATCGATTATATAGATCTGAAAACGAATAAGTAGTACAAAAAATTTTTTTTTTATTCGGTTGCCCGATAACACTTAAAATGCCGAAAACAGTCCAGGGCCTCCAATTTTTGAGCTACGAAGGATTTTTTTTTTCAAAATTTTCGGAAAACTATGTGAAATATAATTACGAGCTATTTTTTAAAAATTCGCCTTCTGCATGGCTAAATTTGCTTTTTTTGTATTTTTTACCCAAATAGTGAATTTGTTTATATGAAAAAACCGAAATTAGCTGTGTAGGAGTCGAATTCTAAAAAACTGGCTCATAATTGTTGTTCCACACATTTTTCCGAAAATTTTGAAAAAAAAATTTTTTTTTGTAGCTCAAAAATTGGAGGCCCTGGACTGTTTTTAGCATTTTAAGCGTTTTCGGACAAACGAGCAATGAAAAAAATTTTTTTTGCACTAATTATTCGTTTTCAGATCCATATAATCGATCTTCAACGTATGAAAAGTCTCACTCCAATAACCCATGACTTTTAAAAGTCACAGTAGTCTCCCCTTAATAAAAAAAAAGTCAACTTTACTTCGAAATTGATGAGTTTCTGCATATTTGAGGGGAAGAAAAATCGACGAACGACGTTGTCGCCAGAGGTGGTGATACGTGTGAGCATAATGTACTGTTAAATTTCCTTTCTTGAAAATTCCGGTGCAATTTGATCAAGAAAATCAATGGGAACTCTCAATTTTAGTTCAATTATTCCTTGAAATTTAATAGAAATCAGAGAAATTCTGGTTAATATGTTTGTGAATTGTCAATTGATTGAAAGTTCAGCGGATCCGGTCCTAAATATTCACGATTTGATTCAACATCCAATAAGTTGGAAAATCCTCGTCTTCCTGTTATTAAAAGATATGGAACTTGATTGAATTTCAGCACAATTTGAATATTCATAAATAGTCAACTAGGGATTTTCGTCAATTCCATATTTTGTCAACAGTGAAATTTTCCTCAAATTCTCTTGTGTGTGGGATGAAAGTAGCTTAACATATATCCTTAATCCAGAGAATATCAATGACTTATCGAAGTTTATCTTCAGTGAATAATATCGTGTGTTATATGGAAAAAGGTCGTATTAACTGTTTTGCAATTTTGAGATCAACAAAGTGGGAAAAGGTCAAAACATGAAATCCGGACGATCCGGGCTCTCCATAATCATTTTGACTCAATAGTGGAGGGGGTACTTAATGGACAGATACCCGGCAGCGTTCGGCCTGACGTGTTGGACAGTTGGAGTCAAAAATTTTCCTTGGCCGATACGCTACCGCGTATTTCGAGAATTTCCTAGCGGAAAACAAATGTCCGAGTGCCGTCGCCCGGACTTTCCAGGGGCGACTCTCGTATAGCATACGTGTGGCTAATGGCGGAACGTCGCCTCTAGCGCGCCCAATATACGAGACCAAATATCCGGGCGCGCGCGTCCACCGAATATCGCTCTGCCGGTTAAAATTTCTACCAGGATTTAAACTCCTAGGATATAATTGACCCCGAGGATAAATTTTACTATAGGGCTTATTTGCTTAACAGTAGTTAGTGCAAGCGGGCCCTAGATAATTAAAAGAGAAATGTACAATAAGTAATATATGCATCGATATAAAAAAAATGACAAACTGAAAAATTGAAAACTGAAAACTCCCGGTGAAAAAGCTCCAAACAACAGTGTGCACTCGATATGTGGCCGAAATGCGATCCTTGCTTTACAAGTTACTTTTTTTCTTTGCTTTTAATTTCCAATATTTTCATTGGCAGTAGTTGGTTGATAGTAAATAATTGACCCAGTTGAATTTTCTAGAAGTCAATTCTGGAATGATGTTCATTTCTTTAAAAGTACGACTTTAATGAATATTAAAAGAATGAGAGAGAAACAGCAAAAAGAGTTTTTTTTATTTTTCTACTATTGCCCAAAAATTTGTGAAAAAAGGTGGTACGCGCCAATAAAATGTGTCCTCAAAAGTTGGATTAAAATGGTTCTAGAGAGCCAGATTGCCAGAGCCAAATCGTCCAGATTGCATATTTTTTGAATCCCGGAAAAAATACACCAAGGCAAATATCTTAATTGGCTGGATTTTAGCACGTTTTAGTCGTAAGGGATATTTTTTCCTGGTTTATTTTTTTCGCCTACCCTTTTTTTCATACAGCACGCGATATGTTGGATTTCATCGAAAGCATTTGACGATATTTCCAATGATTTAAATGGCATTCATCACAAAGTTCATTGTCTCCCCGCGGCATATTTTTCCATTTATCATCAATGTTATTTTGAAGGTCTGCCCTATGTAAGGCAAGGCGCCATCAGCTGGCGAGAGAATATGGAGAGGAGCCGTTGCGTCAAGGCATGTTCCCAATATTCAGAGAAGAAAATGACTGGGTCCTGGGACACGGAGACAATGCTGTGTTCCTGCATGTAAGTTTGTGCGTCTCCAGCTACGAAATTTGATAAATAATAGAAAATATATTCCTCTTCAGGGATGCGTCTGGTGCTATCGCCATATCGGCACCAACATTAACGATTGAAAACGTTAATCGCAACCGACTTGGTATTACGCCAAACCGTCTTCCTTGCACAGAGTATCATATTCGAGAGAATCTACCTTGCACCGTCGATTAATCGAGAGGGGAAAGAAACAGTGAGATTATACCAGGTTGACTCCGCAAATTTTTAAATAAAAGATTGTTCAGTTACGACACAAGAAAAAATTTCATTCACCAAAACAAAATTTATGGAACGATTCCTATTGAAACACTGTGATAATTATTGGATATACTATTGAGTATTTTAGACGGTTATTTCTGGTACACTTATTGGAGATTTTTATAGAGTAACAGTGCAAAGTCAATGGAAACTCTTAATATCAGTTTAATTATTCCAAGAAGACGAAGTTGGAAAATTTCCGTCTACTTGCTTCTCAAAAATTTATAATTCTTTTGAACTTTCAGTGAAGTCTGCAATTCCATTTTTCTTCGCTAAGTTGAATGCAATTTCGCTTTTTAGAAATTACCACTGAACTGTCCGTGAAATTTTTTGCTGCGAATGGAAGCATTCCAGTTGTTCAAAATTAAGTTTCGGATTTTTTATGTTTTATCAACTTACTAGGGGGCTGCGCCCCCTGCTCGCTCCGTTCGTCAACCCCCGTATGACCCATACATGACCCCCATCATCCTTAATCTGATCCTCGGGACCCTTAATCTGACCCTTATACTAACGCATGTGGCCCTTGATCTGACCGTCGTGACCCTTATTCTGACCCTCATGACTCTTAAGCTGACCCCTGTGCCCTTTAATTTGACCCTCGTGATCCTTATAGTGACCCTTTCTTTGACGCTCACGGCCCTTATTTTGAACTTCGTGACCCTTATTCTGACCCTCATGACTGCTATTCTGACACGTGTGACCCTTACTCTGACCCTTGTGACACTTTCTGTAGCCCTTATGACCCTCATTTTGACCCTCGTGAATCTTATTCGGACCTCCATGACCCTGATTCTAAACCTCGTGGCCCTTATTCTGACCATCATAACCATTATTTTGAGCCTTGTGACCCGTAATTGTGGAGTCGTAATTTCGAGTACCACATTTTTATTACCAGGATGTCGATTTCGATTTTCATAAATATAATGTAGAGAAATGATAGTCCAACAATTACGTGTAGGGCATTTTTAGAATATGCCATGTATGTGACAAACTTTTTCTTTAATTGTTTGCTAATAAATCGATGGAATTGATTTTTTTTCAAATGTAGGTATTGTCAAGTCCTATCTATTGGCATTAATTGAAATTTAATCCATATATTATATTTTTGAATTTTTGAATTTGTTTTAAAATCAGTGGTCCCACCACAACTCGAAAGTAAATGTTCTGAATTCATTGAATGATGGCTTGAAAAAATTCATTGGATGTCTCCTTGACAAAAATTTTGTACTTTATAAAAATTACAATTCCGAGGATATCTTTGGATATATTTGATACATTTGTTGATCTATATTTGTTGATTTCATTTATCTGATGATTTATGTAAATTTAGAAATTAGCATAAATTGTTCTGAAAGTAAACTTTCTGACTATTTTTCCAAATATGATGTTTCAAATTCATTCATATTATTTCATATTTGAAATTTCATCAAATATTAAACTAAATTAAAAATATAACACAATTGATTAAAGACAAAATTTCATGGAATTTAATAAAACTACATGAAACGATGAATTGTATACCGTAGACGCAGATGATGTGCAAAATGATCATTCACAAGCATATTACTAATTTATTAGGAAAATTATTAATATAGAGGCAATTTCCTACTGAAAATTTATTCAAATAATGAAGGTTGGACTTGTTGCATGAAATTAAAATTTAATCCACGATTTCCGAAAGCACTTTTTACTGAAAAATCTATGAATATACTGAGAAAAAAAATTATTTTTTCCGAACATCTATTTACTTGAGAGCAGTATTTATTTTTTCAATACCGTATTTCTCCAGTTGAGTTATTCCCGGGTAATTCTCATTAGTTTTCAATTATGTCAATTATATTGCTCTAGAAGATGATCATGTCAGTTATGACCTTGAGTGAACTCCTTCAATAACGATCGACATTAAAAAATTAATCAATATTCTTCGCTCTAGAAAATAAGAAATTTATGAAAAATGAATGATCATGAGAGGAGTTCATCAAAGGATATGTGCAGCATAGTCATCCTCTACAGCGATATGATTGTTATAATTGAAACGTAATCAGGCTCGCCTGAGCATGACTCGATTGGAGAAATACGATTTTGAGAAAATAAATGCTTCTCTCAAGTAAATGAATATTTGGCAAAAATAATTCAGTAGCGAAGTGGTAAGACGGTTTTAAGTCGACTTACCCCCCAGTAGAGTTTTTGCGGAATATTTCCGAATCTAAGGGAGATAGCGAAATTTTCGTAATTGCCTTTATTGTAGCACTCAATCAGCTCTACAAAAAAGGTCATAACAACAATTTCGCTATCTCCCTTAGATTCCGAGATATTCATTGAAAACTGGTCGATGGTCAAAATTGACTTGTACCGTTTTACCACTTCGCTACTGAATTGTTTTTCCCCGTGTAGTTTTCAACGTAGTTCAATATTTTCATCCAACTATTCCATTCCCAATGTTTACTCAATCTTTAGAATAAAAGACTTCCTCAAAATTTTTTACCTCTAATTACTGAATATCAAGGGAATTAGGTAACAAATCAACTAAATGACCATTACGTAAAGTTATCAATGACAATGTTGGCTTAGGCGATTACACTAATGTCATCCAATAATTACGGCACATTCAAACGCAATAACCAAGTGTTATGACCTTCCTAACGATCGAGTCATTCAATAGTCAACATCATTTATCGCGTCAAAATACTTTGATCACCTCACAAATTCCTTTGTTTACCAATACTTTCTCCTCTCATACTACATATCACAGAGAACAAAATCATTTTGACCGCTCAGTAACAGAAAGGCGCAGCAAGGTAGAAAATTCATCGCTCTAATACACTTCCGAATTAAGGATGTACTACACCCTTTCGGTCAAAATTCACGTATTTTTTCATTTTTCTGGTAAATTATTGATCGGATTGACGCGAAATAATATACCGTTTTTGCGATTTATCATTATTGACTGATTCACAACGTTTCATGGTAGTGTAATCATTTTCCTGCATTTTTTCTAAAGTTTTGTGAATTTCAGAAAAGTTTTATAAAAAACGCAGGGAAATGATTGCACGATCATGAAATTTCGTGAGTCATTAAAGGGAGACTATTATGAGTTTTAAAAGTCGTGGGTTATTGGAGTGAGACTTTTCATAGGTTGAAGATCGATTATATAGATCTGAAAACGAATAATTAGTGGAAAAAATTTTTTTTGTATTGTTCGTTTGCCTGAAAACGGTTAAAATGCCAAAAACAGTCCAAGGCCTCCAATTTTCGGGCTACAAAAGATTTTTTTTTCAAAATTTTTGGAAAAATATGTGGAACAACAATTACGAGCTAGTTTTTTCAAATTCGCCTCTTACATGGCTAAATTTCCTTTTTTTGTATTTTTTTACACAAATAGTGAATTTTTTTATATGAAAAAAACCTAAATCAGCTGTGTAGGAGGCGAATTCCAAAAAACTGGCTCATAAATGTTGTTCCACATATTTTTCCGAAAATTTTGAAAAACAAATCTTTTGTAGCCCGAAAATTGGAGGCCTTGGACTGTTTTTAGCATTTTAAGCGTTTTCGGAAAAACAAACAATAAAAAAAATTTTTTTTTTGCACTAATTATTCGTTTTCAGATCTATATAATCGGTCTTCAACGTATGAAAAGTCTCACTTCAATAACCCACGACTTGTAAAACTCATAGTGGCCCCTTTAGTAATGATAAAATGCAAAAACGGTATATTTTTTCACGTCAATCGGATCAACAATTTACTAGAAAAAATAAAAAAAACCTGAATTTTGTCGAAAAGAGTAATACATCCTTAATGGGTTCTCGTTTTTCATTCACGTAAATGAATTCTTCTAATTCTGGACGATTAGATCAAGTAATTTCGAATTACATTGAACTCAAAATAAATGCATTCATGCAATCATCGAGGATAAATATAAATACTTTCGAGAATGAACATGCCCCGAATGGTCTGACGTAAATGCCGACAATAAACCATTTGGTGCGAGAAATGAAAATAAATAAGTTTGTTCGAGCTAAATAAAACATTAATCTGGGTCTCTACCTCTCCTTTTTCCTTCCCTCGAAAAATTGGAAGAAAAGAAAGGAGAGGTGCAATGTTATAGTTCAGGGGGCCTGCCCCACTTGAAGCCAGGATAATTATCGATTATGACACTTCCTCCCGCCATCACCCCTCTGTGGGACTCACAAAGACCCTCTCGTCCTTTTTATTGCACCATTTTACGATCGGGGACTGAGAGTTGCCAGCGAAAATGCAAAAATTTTCTCGCCAGACGGAGTAAAATCTTAAAGGAGAGAGAAAAGGGTGACTTGAGGCCCGGCCTGAGCCCAACTACGGAAATTTTCGTGGATGGAGAAACTATGCAATAGAATTTCGGGGAATTTTTCCTACTCGGCAATTAAATAGCCGAAGAAATGGGATGAGTGAGTCAGGCCGATGGTGAAATGGTCGCAGTCTATTGTGCTCGGGTTTTTCATTCATGGGAACGCACTTGGAATTAAATGCGAAATGTTTTCGGAAGAGTGGACAGCAGGTAGCGGACAAGTGACCGTCATAAACGACCTTTGGCGTGTCTGCGTCCTGAGGATTTCAAGTTTAGTATTTTTGGAATAATATTTTAGTGAAAAAAAATTTAGGCTGTGCAAAATTTTCTGGATATTTTTGAGTAGAATTTTTACGACTCATGATTATAAACAATTAATTTGGAGGTGAGAAATATGCAGGATATTCATCCAAACGTGCAAAAGCTTTTTGTTTTTTTTTTCAGCTGACAGATGTAGTTGTCCTCATGTTAATCAAAATTTCAATCTACGAACGTAATTAATCATTCGGTAATCACATAGAAAATATACATTGAATTTAGATACTAGCATAGGATAGGAAGTTCAATTTTTTGCATATCCCCATTCTTTGCC